CCTAAACCCCAAAACCCTCAACCGTAGTCGGTATGCTTGCAAACGGAGCGACTCCAAGGTTTTCCCCCGTTTGACAGTCTCTGCATGCTGCCCTCCGACCCAGGCATCCACCATCGACGTTGTCATAAACATACTATAACATACTATAGTATACTATAATACAGCATAATATACTATAACATACCATCATAGTTGTGTCCTGACATCTCATCTCCGTAGGCCGCTTGGAATGCGGAATGCAGCTGCAGGGCCTCTGGAAGAGCTGATAGTCATCGTACCAGCCGCAATGGCCCATATTCATGGGATTCCTTACTTCTGGCATCTGGCATCGAAACCCAATCAAGCAAACAAAAAAACTCCGATTCCGGCGCCAAGGTTCACAACGCCGCCTTTGCTCTCCCAGCACTTGAAGATGTACGGTTTACATTTTGCTCCCATGCGCCAGAGCTTCAAGGATGGCTTGTGCCGTAACCTTCGCGGTTGCTTGGGAGGAGCCTTTACGTCTAAGTCTCAGAGCGAGAGTCGAAATATAGTTGCGGAAGGGTCCGGTCAAAACATTCTCGAAACGAAATCCGTCGCTCACATAATGCCCCTGGCGTTGGACTTCCGCCGACACTGCGCACGACAAACCTTTTACGATCTGTTCAAGGCACCAGTAGTTCCATATGGTCGCAACGTTCCCGCCACTGCAGCCGCTCATCTCGCCATCATGGCTTTCAGAACAAGGCGCTAGTTCGGCAACCGACGGCAAATACTCGAATTCAGCATCAACCCACTGGTTTTCGTCACGCTCGAAACGTTCCATACTTGGGCACGTGTCGCAGGACTTCTTGCAGTGCGTCTTCTGTCCGTAATCAGGCAAGGACTTGCAACCTGGATCATGCTTCGCATAGGCCTCGCAGCCCCAGGAGCGGTAGTCCGTCCAATTGGACGAGTCCTCGGTAAAGAGCCGGCACAGGAAGCACTGATCGGTTGGAAGGGGGTGTCTCCTATGTATCATCGTCACAACAACTCCCAACAGCTACTGGGGCATCGATCCATTAAGCTTGCGCTTTGGCGTTTACCTGCGTCTGAGGGTCCTTGCAGGACTCGGATGAGAGCCTTCGGGACTTCTTGTCCAGGCGACATTTCCGCTCCCCGATCATTGCAGCGAAGGCATGTGCATAGCATGAGCCACCTCAGTAAGTACATTCATACAGTGTTTTCACCACAACAACTGTCCACTCCAATATTCGGCAGGGCATATGCTAACTTCTTCTACGAGCCACACATCCCTTGATCAAGAATGGGAAGATGGGCGCATTCATCCTTTGGATGCCATTCCTCTGGTATGGCCGCATCGCTCTTGATGTGGCGCAACACAATTGCTGACCGCGGCTGCTGACTTTTGAGTTGCCTTGGGGAGCTTTGCCCGGAGCGAGCTACCATCAACTCAGTAGAATCCGGCTCGACATGGCCAAGTTTGCCTATCCTGGCATACAACCTTCGCACGGGCAAATCCGAAGGCTTCTGGAGCATGTCGCAGACACTTCCGATGTCTTTTGGAAGCACAAGTTCGTCGAGGCAGGTTCCCCTCACCGCATCACAAACCTGCAAGATGCTCGCTTGAACAACTTTCTCGTCCGATTTGCCGTCGGGGAAGACATGCTCAACTTCAAGGATCATCTCCGTCAGCAGACCGGCATCAATGGACGTCTTGATTTGCTTCACGCTGCCTCAGCTTTTCACCCCGAAATCAAGATCGAGCTCTACCATCTGATGCCACCTGTTTAACAACTCATACCTGGGTTTCAGAAGACCTCATGGCAAGTAATTGCATTGCCACACCACGTCAAAATACAAGAATTTCCAGGCAGAAAGCAAACCCAGGCAGCAACTATATTATATAGTTCGCAGAACCCACATACAGTCTTAGTAATTACAAGCCCTGTTCGGTGATTCTTCGCGCGTTGTTTGTCTCCAAGAACCCATTATCTTCTTGCTTTACGAGCTTCTCAGCTTCAACCCCTCTTGGCGACCCAGGCATTTTTGCGTCTCCATGCGGTAGGCCAGCCTGGCAGGCTCAAAGCTGCCACTGTCTTTATTGATGTTGCTCGCTGGTCGATGAGCGATTTCAGGCTCCTACGAATACCAATCCAGTGACAGTGACACCTGCGCTGTCATGCCAGCAACGTCTACAGTAGCAAGATCCATGACGACTTCCACGAGTATGAGTGTCTACTTTATTCTGACTCTGAGTGGCGACCACCACTAGTAGCGTGCACGCAAGAGATGAAACCCCAAAGGAAGACAGAACTTCCAAACATGCTGCTGCTACTCCTACTCCTCCTACT